GCTATGGCGCATCACTCTCCCTGCGACACACAACGCTGTGCGTGGAATAGCGGGTACCAGCTCCGATACCAATGCAATCAGACTAGCTTTCATTCACACTTTACATGCATGCAAACAGAAGCACAGCAAATTGGCGACATGCGCCCACTCAGTACTCAGAGATATGGCAACCAAGAACGCAACCCAGATACGAGTTCTCTCCAAATGGCTATGGCGACACAGCGCCCACACACAACTCTCTGTTCGCATACACTGGGTCACCCTAGATATCCCACACGCGAATCTCTGAACACTCACAMACACACACATACTGAACTCCAACTACAGCTATGGCGGCGATAGCCGCTGCTACCCTATCGCTATGGCTACACTCCGTCTCYCTCGCCCACTTCGTCTTCGGGCTCACTACAGACCTCCTTGCACAAGTCGCTTGTGGCAACGCTTCCGCATGGCTCACGCAGGAATGAATGAATGGCTGGGCGCTGCCTCTTCATTTATACTTCTGCAGTGCGTTGGTCTGGCCCCTTTCCCATGCCCGGAGTGCACACAGYCCCATGCGGTACTTGCTTGCYTGGACAAGGACTGACTAGAGACTGGGACTGTTGACTCAGCACGGTAGACTTCCACCACTTGCCCACTTGCCTCACCACTTGCCCACTTGCCTCAGCCTAAACGTGGGCAACTTTGAAAGGCCACTACTGGGACCTTCCGGAAGGCCATAGACTTGGCCTTTCGTTACTGTAGCAGCTACGACCTTGACCTTTCCGGACTGTAGCAGCTACGACCTTGACCCTTCCAGACAACTACAGCTACGACTGCTAGACCTGACTGGAAGTCCTACTCGACAGGTCTACAGATCGAACCCTTGCTACCTATGGACCCTATGACAACCTACCAACTGTTACAAATTCACAGGTCACGGGTTCAACTCTGAGGGTCGACACAGATACTGTACACAGGTAAGGTGGGAACTACGGATCGAGCCCTGGGATCTGCATCAGCTACTGCTAGCTGGTGAATACCATTTCAACTTGGACATTTGTGTGATTTCGCAACTTGGTTTTATGTATATCACTCTTGCTCATATTCTTGCAATTATTTGTACTTTGAGTGGAATTTCGAATTGGCACTGTTCATGGCCATAGCCCAAGCTTGTGTGTTCTTTATCTGAATGCTCCCAATTTGCATATGTTATTTTGTGTTGGATCTTGTGGGGATCATTGCATGATGGTTTAAGCGGGCTCAAGTGGAGTTAAAGGGGGTGCTCTAATTCGTGTTTCTAATTCTGGTTTTCTTTATCCGTGTTACTCAGATGCCAAACAGGGAGTGCTTATAACTGGGTCGGCGACTTTTTTTGCAGAAGATGGGACTGCTGCCCAAATAGACAGATCCCAGATATGTGTTGTAGTGTTTACCACTACACGAGATGCAGCTTTACCTCGATTCCAGACAATGAAGCACAATTCAGATGAACCATTCCAAATATGAAACAATTTTACCTCTATAGCAAGCAACATGGAGAATAATAGATTCATTATATCCGTGGTAACCGTCCGGACGTCCGGACCGGGTTCCAGACAGTCCAGTGTCCGGTGTCCGGTGTCTGGTCCTGATGTCCGGATGGAGGCCCCTGGGGAGAAAAAAAAAAAAGGGGGTCTCTCTCTCTCTCTCTCTCTCTCTCTCTCTCTCTCTCTCTCTCTCTCCAACGGCCAGCAGCGGCGGGCGCCTTGAAATTGCTCGGGCCTGTATGAAACCCGCCACCCCAGAACCTGCAGTGTCTTGTGTCCGGACCTCTAAGCCCTGTCCGGTGGGGTGAAATGACACTGAAAAATCACCCCGTTAAGACACTGCAGGTTCTGGGTTGGCGGGTTTCACACTGGCCCGAGCAATTTCAGGGCGCCCGCCGCTGCTGGCCGTTGGAGAGAGAGAGAGAGAGAGAGAGAGAGAGAGAGAGAGAGAGAGAGAGAGAGAGAGAGCACTGACAGTGCTGCCAGTCTGAAGGCTCTGACGTTCTGAATTGAACCGC